GAGATCTTTAACTCCCACCTCCGGCAGAACTTCGACCAGATCCCGAGGGAGACTGGAGACACTGAGTCCAAATGGACCATGTTCTCCACTTCCATTGCCGATGCGGCCGCTTGAAGCTGTGGCCGTAAGGTCTCTGGTGCCGGTCGTGGCGGCAATTTGAATAATCTTAGAAATCAACATGAAAAAGAACTGTGATAAGATTATGGATTGTGATCCTGCTTGAAAAAAAAAATTGTGAAGTGATATTTTTGCCACCCCTACATGGGATTAAAGAAGTACTCATCACTCCCTACATTCATTTACTTTCCTACAACCAGTGATTGCCCATTATAGGGCTGATATGATGTGCTTTGACTTCAATATTAGTAACTATATCCATCCATTATATATACCGCTTATTCTTGAATAGGGTCACGGAGGGCTGGAGCCAATCCCAGCTGACATTGGGCATACCCTGGACAGATTGCAGTCTATCACAGGGCTGACACACATACTCACATTAACTCCTATGAGCAACTTAGAATCTCCAAACGACCTAAGCTGGACTGCGGGAGGAAGGCGGAGTACCTGGCCTGGGCTCGAACCCAGAGCCTTCTTGCTGTAAGGCAACAGCGCTAAGCACCACGCCAATGTGCCAACTATAGTAAATATATGAAATTGTTAAATAATTTGAATAAGTCTGGATTTGTGCACTGTTTCACCAGCTGGAAAATCCAACAGGGAAATTGCAGCATCATAAATGTGATAAAGAATTCTGTGCCAGAGCCAGAATCCACACAAATATGGCAAGGTTGCACAGCTGTATACGCTGGTGTTAGTCAGCTTACAGAAATGGCTGATAAACTCACATTGTTCCTTTGATTATTGTCTGAATCATCAAGTTAAAAGTTAACATATCTCAGCCACTGCAGCATAAATTTATACCATTCCTTCATCTCTTTTGTGAGCCCCCCAACTTCATAGAGTTGAAAGAGTGAAATCACTGGAGTACATTTTACATGTTTGAAACATATCAGCAGATTTATATCATCTCTCTAAAACTCACTCATCCTCTTGACAACAGAGTATAAAACTATGGCATAGACTTGCACCAAATGGCGATCAGATCGACGACAGAAGACACGGATGCTGTTTTTTTATTCCTTGCCAATATTAAGAAACAATCACCATCAATCAACACGAGTGACTCTGTTCCTTAATTTAAAGCTACCTGTTTGCACTCCATTTCCCTCTGCCTATCTACAGACGCCTGCTGCCTCTGCCAGTGTGTGTCTAACAGGTCTGTGAGCCAAGCACAACCCTGGTTCTTTTCACTGCTCCACTATATTTAAGCACATGGTTGACTGAAGCCTAACATTTACTTGTGAAGGTATATACAGTAAATGTCTGTTATTATTGACTGCATTTTTTAATTTGGCATTTCATTTGTTACTAACTTTGCTTTAACATATCAGCAAAACAAGTTTTTGTCTGTGTGTGTGTGTGTGTGTGTGTGTGTAATTAGACTGAAACTGATGGGAGAGCTCCATTCAGCAGAAGCAAGCCGTTACTTGAGACAAACTTATTTTGTGATCTCTGCATTGTCTGGTGAAATGGACCAACATACAGTTTAATCACTGCAACAGTGCTGTAAAATGCGGTGCTATATCCACATTTAAAATGATGAGAGAGAAAGGCCAGAGGCGATTAGATCAGCCATCAGTAATGACAATATGAAAATACTGAGGACTGCCCAACTCTACTATGTCACTGTCACCCTGACATGTTACTGTGGCATTTTTTAACTGCTATGGTCAGGTAAGGAAAGTGTTTGGACTTTAAACTGGGGCCTGTGGCCACAGAAGTCTGAGAAGGACAGGTCACTATATGAGACATCTGTTTTAACGTAGAGGTAGAACATCTCCTGCAGACCCCTCACATCCTGGTCACAAACAGTTTGAACTCCTCCCCTCTGGAAGGTGCTACAGGTCACTGTACGCCAAAACAACCAGAGAAGGAGAGATTCTGCCCCTTTGCCATCACTCTTATGAACACTTAACCCACACTTGCATGATTGGACATATCCATCTGAAGCCCTTCTGCCACAATGTACA